CTGTGCATGTGTTTCCTTGTGCCGTATGAGTACATTACTGAGTTACAAGCATTTCAGATGTTGACCCATTTGCTATAATACGGCGATTATTGGACTCTTTTTTTTTCCAAAGACCCCCAAGTTAAAAAAAAGAGTTTCAGCAGTATGTTAGATACAGAGTTCCTATTAACAGTAGTGGGTTGAAGAGTGACTGGATACAATTTAACAAGTGGGTTAGTATCCACAGTATATCAAAAAAATAGAAATCAATAAGATAAAAAATAGAGAAACTCATTCTAATAAAGGAAACAAAGATTAAGAAATATCATGTTGTAAGATTGGCAAAAATTAACCATACCATCAAATGTAAGAACAAATGTGGGTCAGTAGAGACAAACATATATTGTCAGTGGGATGTAAATTGATAAAGCTTTAAAAGCAGTGTTGGCTCCATCTTGTAAAGTTGAATATTAGTATACCTTAGCAGTTTGATCCAAGTGTGTATATCCTAGAGAAAGTCTATACATGTGTACCAGGAATGTGTACAGTAACATAGAAGGAGTAAGGAAGTAACTCAAAAGTTTGTCAAATAAAATCAATAAGTAAATTGTGATACATTCTCACATTATTCTCAGTTTAAGATTTAAACTTAATAAGATTTATTATTTAGGTTCAGTTTAAATACAGCTGTGTTTAACAATAGAAACAAAATGGTAACAATAGTGAAAGGAAGCAACACAGAATACCATATTTTTTAAACCACTCATGATTTATTCAATTAGCAGTGCCTAGTATCACTTGATTTTTCTATCTTATGCTAAGTACTTTTCAAAACAATGTATTTTTAAATGTATTTAATAAATGCTTAGACATCTCTTAGAATGTAGACATTTTTATAACTTTACAAATATTACTCCATTTAGTCACATGTATAAAATATGATTTTTTTAAAGCTTAAAAATAAGCAAAAGTAAATAATATATTATCCAGAAATACAGGCATCTCTCTGGAGGAAAGAGAATGATCTTAAAATTCAGAACAGTGGTCACTTCTACAAGGAACAAACATGATGTAATAACAGTGTTATAGTTCTTTTTTATCTCATTTAAACGCATAAATTCAGAATGCACACATTAGAAATAATCACATGTGGCAGTGGCTCATTTTGGACAAAATAGTTATAAATAGTGAATGTTGTCATTTGGATTTAATGATAGTGGAAAAATGGCAAGAATTGGGACAATAAGTGCCTGGCTAAAATCTTTCTTCCTCCAAGGCCTTCTCTGATCTCATCAGCAGGCAGTAACTTTTCCATCAAAGAACTTTCGTGAAACTTTGCTTTAACCTTTTACTTTTAACATATCTTTTATTAATATTATTGATGTACATGTGCTAATATCCCTAATGCCCTTTCCTTGAAGAACCTTTTAGCTCTCCTTAAGGAAACTGCAGTTCTTTGTTTTGTTTTTGTTTTTGTTTTTGTTTTTTTGGTACCGGGGATTGAACTCGGGTCCTTGTGCTTGCAAGGCAGGCCACCCAACCGCTGAGCTAAATCCCCAGCCCACTGCAGTTCTTAAATTGACTGGTTTTTCGCAAATGTTGATAACACATACTACATGTGTAAAAGGATAATTTCTTAAACATGAATAGTTATCATCCAAATATAAAAAGCAGTATATGTCCAAAGGCTTTATTTAAATCATTAAATCTTAGGGGAATTGGGAAGATAAAACCATTCACTTCAAGGGATAATTCAAAGTAACACACATATAAGTAATTAGAAATGCTGAAATGAATTCACAAATACTTGCTAAATTGGTCAGCATTCACAGGACAGTAATCAGTTACATTCCACTGAACATAATTCATTGGCATTGTTATGGTCAAGAATTTGTATTACTATCAGTCACAGGTCAGGCACAGTGGTACACACCTGTACAGTAATCCCAGCTACTCAGGAGGCTAAGGCAGGAGAATCACAAATTTGAGGTCACCCTGGGCAACTTAAAAAGACAGTCAAAAAAAAAAAAAAAATGTTAGGGGCTGGGATGCAATGCAGCTCAGTGGTTGAACACACTGAGTGAATTTGTATTATTACCAGTTTTACAATTTGTAAAATAGCTCACAAGGGCCAAAGAATGCCCTGGAAACTACATACCTAGTGCTCTTTTTATCTTTTTTGCCCATTTCAAGGTCTTTTGTATTTTTTCCAGATCCATATAAACTATGTGCATCAGATATTACAATAGAAATAGAATAAAGGATAAAATAAATAAGTAATACTATTCTGTTTCCCCTGCAAGTTGTTCCTTGAAGGGAGATGAGCAAGCTTCCTTCCTTGAAAGGATCAGATTTGAAGGAAGGGTTGCTTTTTGTTTTCTTAAGTAGAGGGAAATTCAGTGTATTTTGGTTATATGAAGGGGGTCACTAGGAGGGAGGTGAGATGGTAGAGGTACAGTGGATGTTTGGAAAGAGGCAGTAGCCGTTACATTCAGTATTGCAATTTAGATTTTTTTTTTATAAATTTAAATTTTTCATTTTTATCTTTTTCAGCTGTTTTACGGTAGCTTTGCATACAAAGCACGAGGGTAATAAGTATTTAATATTACCACTTCACAACTTTTAGCCTTTTATAAAGTCTTTGAAATTATTTTCTATTCATCTCATTTGATCGCTTATATTTTTCAGTTAGGCAAGTAGCTGAGAGCATTGTTCTCTGGTAATAGTTGACTTTCTCTTCTGAGAATGGAGGAAGTGAAAAAGACCAAGGCTGTAGATTCATTGGAAGACATAGGGGGAAAATGTACTAAAGGTTGGTGGCTTAGAGAATACAGTGGTGCCTTGGTTCATAAACTTAATTCTTTCCACAATTCTAGTCGTAAACTAAATTGGACAAGAACCAAATCAGATTCAGTAGTTAGGTTCTATATTGACCATATGGGGAAATTTGGCACTGAACTGGGTATATAAGATAGAAGATTTGAATGGTTAGAGATGTGTCCAGAAAACATTCACAGTAGAAGGAAATGGCATATATAATAACATGGGGCTTATTTTGAAGACAGTGTGTCATTTTGGTTCCACTGACCCTGACAATTCATGAAAGCAGAATAATAAATAAGAAAGTACACATTTTTTTTCTCTCCTACTATAGTTGTCTTACACATTTTACATGTGCGTGGTAAACTCACAGGAAGTATTTTAAAGTGAGTGACCTTCCATGTTTGAGACTAATGCAACCAAATTATTTTGGGATATGTTTTATTTTTATCGGTAAAAGAAACATTGAAGGGGGATAGGAAAATAGAACTTATAGTCACATTTAAAAAAAAAAATCCACTTGTCAGGTGTTGTGGTGTATGCCTGCAATCCCAGGACTCAGAAGGCTGAGGGCAGAAGGATTGCAGAAAGTTCCAGGCCATCCTGGGCTACATACAAGACCAGACCAAATTACATGGCAAGACCCTGTCACAAGGAAAAAAAAAAATCCAGTTGATCTTTAAACCTAAGAAATTTCTACTAAATTGAGACAATTTCAAAGTACTGAAGTTAGGATTCATTCAAGTAGTAGTTACAATAGTAGTAGTCAATTCAAGATACGGCTTTAGCTGTTGCTGCTATCGATGCATAACATACTGCTATTATTTAGTCTTTTTATATAAATATAAATATATATACATATATATATATATATAAATTGAATTTTGGGAAACTAACAGTGCTGCCAACTTTGGAAAAAGTCATCCCAATTTACTGTGTTGAGTCGGCATTGTACAGAAATGGTCAGCCATATTGGTCTAGAAATGTTAATTTTTATTTCCATGTGTATAGGTGTAACACATCATACTAAATATGTAAGGTCATATCTACGTGGGTTTGACTACAGAAACTAATAAAGTATTCTCTAAATAATGAAAAAAAGAATAAGATAAGACTATAAGAGCGAGAAGCAACTTAAATATGTTCGGGGACCATTTTCATCTCCAGAATTAAGGATTATTTTAATGTTACATCATTGCCTTTTCTCTTTTACTTTCCTTTTTAGTTTTATTTTAGGATTCCCTATTTTTAATGCTCATACAGAGATTTCTTTAACTGAAGTACCGAATAGTTTCTTTGGTGTGAAAAACTGTAATAGTACACAGGATCCTAATGAGATAATTAGTAATGTGAAATAGGAAGTAAAGGGCTAAAGGTGTAGGGAAAGTGGGAAGGATGGGGGAAAGGTAATAAGGGAGAGGAAAAAAATATGAGAAACTGAAAAAATGGAAATGAAGTGTGTGTGAATGGGGAGGGGAGAAGGGGGTGAACGGAGGACAGGGACAAGGGGAAAAAATGAGAATCAAGACCTATTATGTAAAGGTACAGGATCCCAATGATGAATGTAACTGTATTGTATACCTAGATTGTACCAATAAACTCAATAAAAAGAAAAAAACAAACAAAAAGATATGGCTTTAGGACTTTTTTTTTTTTTTTTTTTTTGGTACTGGGGACTGAACTCCAGGCCTTGTGCTTGTGAAACGGGTGCCAGAACCACTGAGCTAAATCCCTGGCCCTAGGACTAATATTAACTTGCCTATCTTAGGCACTGGCTGATCTAGCTACAATTAACTTCTTAATCATAATAAAACTTGAAAAATAGGTAATAGGTGTTGAGTATAAAAACTGAGATTCAAAATTTAAAATGTCTTTCATACAACTAGTCAGAAGCAAAGCCAGTTCAGCCTTTTTCCTTTTTAAGTCCCATACATGCCAGAGTTTCTGATTGCAGCTTTAAACATAATTAAAAACAATATCATAAGAAGACATTTAAAAGGAACTTACCATATCCATGTCTGACCCCAGCTTTAAGGAACTCTAGGCCCCAATCACCATATGTAACTTATACATTAATGACAATATATTTTAAATTTGGCAGACATTGGAATGTATATATAAGTGAACTTTTTCTCCTTCACTTTGTCATGTTCTTCCAAACTACAAGTAGGAAATCATTCTTTTATTTAACTTTCTTTCAGGTATCTATTTGTCAGACTTAACATACATTGATTCAGCATATCCATCAACTGGCAGCATTCTAGAAAATGAGCAAAGAACAAATTTAATGAATAATATCCTTCGGATAATTTCTGATTTACAGCAGTCCTGTGAATACGGTAAGTTTCTGAGGGATAACGTTAAGCTGTTATCGTGCTGTGGTTTCATTGATTCACTGACATATTGATGACAGCTTCTTACCCAGAGAACATCACTTCCTTATTCTCCACTGTAACATAAAGGAAATTTGTGGTCTTCTACTTCACCATTTGCTATTTAGCATTGTGTTTTGTTTTGAAGATACAGGTTGTCCTTGTGTTGCCCAGTCTGGCCTTGCACTGTTGCACTTAGTGAATCCCCTTGTCTCAGCTTACTGAGTAACTGGGGCTACACTTGTACCTCATGGTGCCCAGGATAGCATCCTAAGATTTTTTTTTTATAAATTTAAATTCTTTTATTTTTATCTTTTTCTGCTGTTTTACAGAGCTTTGCGTACAAAGCAGAAGGATAATAAGTATTTAGTATTACCACTTCACAATTTTTAGCCTTTTATAAAGTTTTTGAAATTGTTTTCTATTCATCTCATTTAATCACTATTTTGTAGCTAGTTCTTATATTTTTCAATTCGGAAAGTAGCTGAAAACATTGTTCTCTGGTAAGTTGACTTTATTGAGTCAGACATTGAGCAAATCAGTTTTTGTCCAAGATGTATTTTATGGACTGACATACTTTGAAAAATAAGTAATCCCAAATGATTAGAAAAGTGAGATCTTACTGTTTAAATTGCTTTCATCTTGATGAAGGATAGACTCAGCCATTGAAGCCATTAAGTAGTTCTGTCCGTAAACTGGCATAACTTTAATGGTTTGGAAAAAAATGTGTTTAAGTCATCTAATTTATTTCACATAAGTATATCTTAAAACTAATTTTGCATATGTGCAGTTTTAGTTTTTAAAATCCTTCCTGAAAGAGGGGGGTGGGTAGGATTGTATTGAAAGTCAAATCTCTTATTTGCCCTTTCCTCAATTTTTTAGACACAATCTCAGAGAGTAATGCTAACTTAATCTTGTTTGAAATTTGTCATTGGGTTGGGGGGACACATTTATAAGTGGGAGTCAGTTTCCTTTAAAAGAAAAATATCTACCCTATTTCTTATATTGAGTTGAGGCTTAACTAAATCAAAATGAAGTCCCTCTGATTTTCTTTCTATCAAGTTTCTCAAAAATGTGGGACTTTATAATTGGAGCTGGTGATTGTTTTTATTGTATATACAAGCAGTGTGCAGCTAAAACTTTTTAAATTACCTTCAGCTTTACTTTAAATAAATTTTATCTTAGTAATGTTCTCCTACAGTTAATTTCAATTTTGATGCCGCGTGGCCTTAATTTTTCTTTAATTATTTTTCTCAGTTTAACTTTTCAGTTCTCTTTCAAGTATACTTTATTGTATAATTATTTATAACCTTTTGCCTAGATATTCCCATGTTGCCTCACGTCCAAAAATACCTGAACTCTGTTCAATATATAGAAGAACTGCAAAAATTTGTGGAAGATGATAATTACAAGTAGGTTGGATCTTCAAAATTGGTTTGTACTTTGTCCTGTCCTCCACTCTTTTATTTAAACATCTAAATGTCTTTTAATATCTAAAACCTACATTATATATGGGTACCTACTTTAGTGGTGCTTTAACAGTGGCAGAGATACTCAACATACTTCTTTTTAATCACTTGGTATTACTGAATCAATATATAAATGTCATTTGTTCCTTTATTTAAAAGTATTTTGTCTTTCTCAATTATAAAGAGCTGAAGTTTGATAGTTCAAACTTAAATTTCTTTCTCCATATTCAATCATCAAATCTTTATGGAAGTATATTTTAATAGAAACATTCATATAACATTCTATAAAATAGAAAAGTTCCTTTTTTAAGTGGTAATTTTTGAACATATCTTTGTATTTTTGGGTATTGAAAGAATGTTGAACTTTCTTGCCCCTGTGTTATTGATGTGCTTCTTCAGTATAGCACCCACATTTACTTTATTCCCTGTATTATAGCAAATCCCTTATTAAAGATTTTTAAATGACTTTTCAAGTAACTGATACTGATGCTACTCCCTAGCGCCCCTAATACTGCTTAGGACAGCAAGATTTTTACATCGTTGCCCTTTTTCATGTTCTTGGCTTTCAAAATGTGAGAGGATTTAGAGCTTATTTCTCTCCACACTTCTCATTTTTCTTTTAGCTTCATTTGTTAATTTTTAAAAATATATATATACATTTTTTGCTTAGCTTTAAAAATAAAATAGAGATGGTATCTCACTGTCTCACTATTTGGCCCAAGCTGTTTCCAAACTCCTGGGCTTAAGTGATTCTCTTGCTTCAGCTTTCCTGAGAAGCTAGGACCACAGACAAGTTACCATGTCTGCACACTTAGCTTTATTATGCCAACTGTTACCAACCTTCCAAATTGAATTTTATGTCTTCTAAAATTTTTTTCCATAAAATTATATTTTTAAACTATACCAAAATAAAAGACTTATTCTTCAGCATTAATGAAAAACATTTTTCTTTTCCCCTTTTAATTAATCATTATCAATATTCTTATTCCATAGATTTTAACAATCTTTTCATATTTTATAGAACAGAATTAATCCCATTGAAAGCCTAGAAATTCTGGAAAACAACTAGAAATTAATTTTTCTTCAGATATTAACTATATTACATTATGCATATATATTTAAATGTGTAAAAGTTTATTAATGTTTGAAAATACCCTATTGCCATCTTCTTCCCCATACCATAACATTAGTACTTTATGTTTCAATAATGATTTTTACTTTTCACTACGGCCACACCTCCCTGAATGCACCCAATCTCATCTGATTTTTGCTTTGCCAAGGGCTTTTCCATAGTAATTCACTTGAACATATAGGTAAGGCAAATGAATCAGCATTTTAAGGCTGAAGTTGTTTCGCACATTTCTTGGCCAATGTTGTAAGTTTCTTGAATTTGATGGTATCTGGTTCATGAAACTTTCTAGAATTAAAAGAAGTTAAAATAGAAACAAAGTCTAATAATTTTGCATAGATTTTTACTGATTACAGTAAATGTATAATAGATTATTTATTGAAGCTAATTTTTCTTCTGCTGAAAGAATAGATTCAGCCATTGAAGCCATAAGTAGTTCTTACTGTCTATAAACTGGCATAAGATACATCCTGTAAGTCTTTTTTTTTTTTCTTTTTATTGAGTTTATTGGTACAATCTAGGTATACAATACAATTACATTCATCATTGGGATTCTGTACCTTTACATAATAGGTCTTGATTCTCATTTTTTCCCCTTGTCCCTGCCCTCCCTTCACCCCCTCCTCCCCTCCCCATTTACAAACACTTTATTTCCATTTTTTCAGTTTCTCATATTTTATTCGTCTCCCTTATTACCTTTCCCCCATCCTTCCCACTTTCCCTACACCTTTAGCCCTTTACTTCCTATTTCATATTATTAATTATCTCATTAGGATCCTGTGTACTATTATAGTTTTCACACCAAAGAAACTATTCGGTATTTCAGTTAAAGAAATCTCTGTATGAGCATTAAAAATAGGGAATCCTAAAATAAAACTAAAAAGGAAAGTAAAAGAGAAAAGGCAATGATGTAACATTAAAATAATCCTTAATTCTGGAGATGAAAATGGTCCCTGAACATATTTAAATTGCTTCTCGCTCTTATAGTCTTATCTTATTCTTTTTTTCATTATTTAGAGAATACTTTATTAGTTTCTGTAGTCAAACCCACATAGATATGACCTTACATATTTAGTACGATGTGTTACCCTGTACACATGGGAAAAAAATAAAAATAAATTAACATTTCTAGACCAGTATAGTTGTCCGTTTCTGTGCAATGCCAACTCAACACAGTAAATTGGGATGACTTTTTCCAAAGTTGGCAGCACCGTTAAAGTTTCCCAAAATTCAATTCATATGTGTGTGTGTGTGTGTGTGTGTGTGTGTGTGTATATAGAGAGAGAGACTAATAATAGTATGTTATGCATCGATAGCAGCAACAGCTTTTCCAGGTTCTGCAGTCATCTGAACAAAATTATAGACATTCAGCACATTCTATAAAAAAAAAAAAAAACAAAGAAAAGAATAATATCCAGACAACAGCAAAGTTCTGTTGCTGTTGTGGTACCTGGCACCATTTTTTCTATTAGCCTCTTAATCATCATCTGGAAAGAGAACATTCTAGAGTAATATCATTAAATGTAGCTCTGATAAAGCACGGTCCCTACTATGTATCATAAAGCAGGTACTAGATATTTTACATTCATAGAGGTATGATACAGTACCGTCCTACATCAATAATACTAGAATCAGTTTTGGTTTGAAATTTACTTTGTCTGCAAATAAGATTGCTACCCCTGTTTTTTTCTGGGCTCCTGTCACATGGAGAATTGTTTTCTATCTTTTCACTTTCAGTCTATGGGCTTCTTTTTGCACTAGGTGTGTTTCTTGTATACAACATATTGTTGGATTTTGCTTCTTATTCCATTTTGCCAGTCTATTTCTCTTGATTGGTGAGTTGAGGCCATTGACATTGCTGGTTATAACTGATATGTACTGCCTTATTATTGACATGTTATTGGCCTTTTGTTGACTCTTTTTACTTTTTTACCTTCTCCTTTTAATTTCTTCCTTGCCTATTTGATTTGCTCTGTTGGGCCTCATGGTGTTGTTGCCTTCATTGTCTTTTTCTAGGATCTTGTTTAGGACTGCTTTTAGTGCTGGTGTGGTATTCATAAAATTTCTCAGGTGTTTTTTGTCGTGGAAGTGTCGTATTTCCCCATCCATTTTGAAAGAGAGTTTTGCTGGATACATCAGTCTAGATTGGAGATTATTCTCTTTTAGTACTTGAAATATCTCATTCCAGGCTCTCCTTGCCCCAAGGGTTTGTGTTGAAAAGTCTGCTGTGATTCTGATGGGCTTTCCTTTGTAT